TTCACTTTGTTTGGCAGGACTGTGACACCTTTGGAATGGAATTTTTAAAAGGCAGCTGTGCAAATTTGATAGGTAATCGCTAACAAAAGAATGGTTTTGATTATTCCCATAATGAACCATTATCATTAGCTTTTTTCAGCAAGTTTACAAATACAAATATGCCCATACATAGTACATGTGTAATAAATGTGTGTACATTTTAATTTTAATGCTAATTCATATTTTTATACAGACTCAATACACGTTACTATTCAAGGTTGATTAAGTACAAGAGGATGAAATGCAGCCAATAAAACAAGATTAGAAAGAGATTAGAAACAAATTTTAATCAGAAAATCACCACCTCAAATCCTTTTAGGAAGTAGGCAGACATAAATAATAAAGAGAACCATTTAGAAACTTCCTGACAAGCAGTCCCGGGCTGGAATTCTGGAGGGTGGCTTTCTAGTCACTCCTCTAATGCTAGCTTTTTCTAGTGACCTTTAGTCATTGTTTGCTAGATCTTTCAGAAGCTGGGAACATACTAGGTGATCAATAAGTGCCTCTGAATTTCATTAATCCCAGGAGAAAGGATCTCAGCTCTTTGTTTTCTTTACAGGATGATGTTTGAGGCCATTTGGAGGAGGTCCTGGGACCAATTTGAAAAAGACCCAAGTCTCCCGGCTCTGAGCTTTGGAGACTTTGGATATTCTGGATCAAGGCTAGATTCTATGGACTTGTGAAAAGGCTGGAAATATTTTCTCTTTCTAGTGTACAAACCTTAATGTTAAAGATACTGTTACATAATGTATACCTTGTCATAAGCTTCTCTGCGAGTTACCATTAAGCTGTTTTTGTACCCTTTGAGCTTCCGGGGGGTGTACCAGAAGGAATGAGATTTGCTCTGGTTTTTATTACCAGGGAATTGTCCCCTCAAGGGTCACTCTGCCTGCATTTGCCCTTGGGAACTTGCAAGGGTACCCCTGTCCTTCAGGACTTCTGCTTGCTTTGTTTGGAAATGCCCTTTGGGACTGATGCCTGCTGCTCCATCACCCTGTGAAGACGAAGGAGCATCAGCTGTATAAACACGCCAGCACTTTGGAGAGGACTCTGTTTCTCCTTATTTTGTGATTGTTTTCTATAGCCGCTGTACCAAATCACCGCAAGTCAGTCGTTTAAAAAGACACAAACCTGTTCTGACATTTCTGTCGGTCTAGCAATCCAACACGAGCTCCGTTGGGCTAAAATTAAGGTGTTGGCAGGCGTTCCCTTCTGGAGGGTCTAGGGGCAGTCCATTTCCTTGCCTTTTCGAGCTTCTAAAGGCAGCCCACATTCTTGGGCTCCCGGCTCCCTCCCTGTATCGTCCAAGCCAGCAATGCTGCATCTGTCTGAAAAGGACAGGGGAAGCAGAATTCTGTGCATTCGGAAATGTTGGAGGTGAGCCAGCTCTTTGTAAGGTTACCAGGCTACGGGGAAGCCCTCCCCTTCGAGGCGGACTGCTTTTAAAGTGGGGGTGGCATGTGTGTTTAGAAACAATAGTCCTTTCACCAATGGCTCCCCAAGACCTGGTAGACTGACATGGTTCATGGACTCAGGAGGGATAGAAGGAGACCTGTCAGGTACCAAGTCTGCTGCTGCTCATGTGTTGTACCTGAAAGAGTGTTTCTTCTCAGCTGAGCTGCCTGTAAATAACAGACACTCGTTCTTTGGGATACCAGTCAGGGGCTTTCTATGGGAATGCATACTGTCGTCAGCTCAGTTCTGCCTCTTCTGCTCCCCACCCCATTTTGAATTATTATTAAACAGCACTCTTATTCCTAAAAGGTATCCTAAAATGTCATTGGAAAGAAATCTTTGAAAGTGCATTTGCATTTGCATTTGTAACGTGTAGTAAGGCACCCTTGATTAGAACCTTACTGAATGACCCTATTTCGGCCTAAATTTCATCCTTGGCCTCGCCCTAAAGGCTTCCTATGAAAATTGATAAACAGATGTTAGAGGGCCTGAGGAACCTGCTTAAGAGAACAGACTGTTTTGAAATACTTGAGGAACACCAATTTAGAAAAAAGAAATTATGCCAATCGAGAGGCTTTTATTTCCTAAAGCAGATGCAATTAGATATTTTTCAATATATTGATAGGGTAGTTTTGCGGCTCATCCCCTTGGGAATAATTGTAATGAGTGTGCTTGAAGATATTCTATATTTTCACCTTGTTAGCCCCAGCTGCTAGGATTTTGCTGTATTTAGTCATTTTTAGGGGGAATGTTTTCGGCGAAGTTTTTTGCTTTTTTGCTTACACTGTGGACTGTTCTCCTGAGCAGAGAATGGCTGCTGAGTGTGCCAAAAGATTACAAGAGACTTCAGCAGGAAGACACTATTTTACGATCATTTGAAATTCTCCATCCCTGGGAAATTCTCAAATCAGGCTTATGGAGGCAATCCAATTTGGCTAACTGCTAATCGGAGAAAGCAAAAACTTACTGGCGAGGCTGGCATGTGGATTTCCCTTGTCCTGGGTTCCCACCTTGCCTTAGCAGCAACACGCCCCCCCCCGGGCCCCGGGTAATGCTCCTCACAGGGCCCTTCTACCAGCTGCAGCGCCCAAACAGTGCTCTCGTGAGGCCCTGTCAGCCTTGGTAGCAATCAGTGAGGGTTCTTGCTGGTCTCGCCACATGAAAGGTGCCAAGTCTAAGATCAGATGTGATTATGATGGTTCACATGCCTTTGCTTTCTCATCCACAAGTAAGGACCCTAATGTCTTAGATGTTTCCTGTACGGCAGTGAGGTTAGTAGGGGAAGCGAGTGTTTTCATCAACTGAGGGCTTCTGTGAGGTGATTTCAGGTTGAGTAGGGGACAGACTTGGAACTGGGGATGTATGCCTCTGGGTCTGTAGGTCTCTTTTTCTCTCTGATCCCTTGGGACTCTCGTTCCTGTTTGTGTATTTGTAATCAGAATTCCTTGCCTTCCAAAATGGTGTCATTTCAGCATTTTTGGTCCAGCAGAAACTTCACCATTGTTTAAAGTTTTTTTTTTTTTTTTCTTTTCCCCTCTTTGCAGTTAGAACGATTTCACAAAGCCGTATAGTGCCACCAAGCCTCCAGGAGGAACACAGAGATTTCATGATGAAAAAGGAATGACTTATTCAAGAGAGCCCTGGTAGGGCTAAGGTAATGAGCTGAGCATTTCTCTAGAGGTCTGCTGCTTATTTGGTGACAACAGGAAACATTTTTCTAAACAAGGAGGTTTAAAACCTCCAGTGGAAGTAAGCTACTAAGTTACAGGATTTTTACTTCTATGTTGCTCAGTCAGCAGTGGCTGTGGCTGGTTTTTTTGTTTTTTTGTTTTTTTTTTCAGTGCAGTGAAACCTATTTCCAAAACATCTTCCCAGTCCAGGCCTTCTGATTTAGGCCCCTGTGGGGAGGCTCCAAGGTTTAAAGCAATTCTCAAACTTATTCAGGAAGCAGAACTATTGGAAATCACAGACCCTTTTTTTCTGAGTGTGATGAAGAAATGTTGGCTTACTAGGCCAAAAATAACCAATGAGAAAAGTCAGTATAAGTCAAATAGAATCTTTGAATAAACTCTGAGATACACATTGTTGGAAACTGCAGCAAAATTTAAGAAAAATGTAGAACATAAAAGATGATCACTGATAAATTTCTATTCGTTTTAGAAAAATTCCTGTCGTTGCCTAGGAAAAGGCTGCCATTTATCAGTTTTATCGGTGGAATACTCAGGCTGACTTTTGGAAACACCTGTGTTCCAATGGGGCATAATTTCACAGTTACTGTTATAATATGGTACGAGCTACGCAGTGCTCTAGAAAGAGTTCCAATAGAATTGATGATGGCATGTGATTATGACCTTGAATGTAGTATTCAGAGCTTGCTGACAGTTGAGGCACAAGGAAATCTAATGCTACATTCATTATGTTTGATTTCATTCATGGCTTGAGGGAGAAGGGATTGGCATCTAGACCCGAGACCCTCTCGCCAGAGTCGCTGCATGGTGAGGGAGAAGCTGGTCTGTCAGCGTGTGCCGGTGTCACGCCTACTCCATGCTGAGAGAACGGCATCATTGCTAGTTGAAACGGGAGAGATGATCACTAAGGCTGTAGCCTGAGAAGCAATATATACCGACACCAGAGGGGAAAGGGCTATTTATTTAGAAAAGTTCACCATCAAGTCACTGGACAGGAGAAACAACTCATGGAGAAAATCAACACTTATTACAATCAAAAGGGAACCCATTGTAATTCGCTCATTTCTCTAGGCACGCTCAATGTGATGTTGAACAAAACTCCCTCAAACACTCAAACATCTTCTACCGGATAAGTAGCCATGATTGGAAAAATCCGTCTTTGTGTTGCTGTCGACACACCTCTTTCCAGGGTTTTCGGAATTATATTTAAGCATGATACAGTGTATCTGATGTTAGCACACACCCAATTTAGCATTAATTTCTCTGGATGGAAATAGAAGCCGTATGTTTACATTAGTAAACATACAACAGCACTATGTATTTGATCATTTCTGAGAAGACTGATTTTTTTTTTTTTCATCTCAAAGAGGGACTTCTGAGACTTTGTATTCATTTGTGAAGCATCAGCAGCTTTCAGTACAGAGACCACACGAGTTTCCTAATCTTATTTTATTTAATTTCTCCACTGGTCTGACTCTGATTAGAGGTTCAAATAAAATTGTGACTCTTCTATGCCTTGATTTATGTTAAAATATTTCTGTCTCTCTCCTGACATAGCAGCAATTGCATGAAAATTAATTGTTACAAAGTTGTAGCACAAGAGCTAGTATTCTTTGAGATGGCTCTATGACTAGATTTCCAGATGGCTGAGTTTTTTTTTTTTTTTTTAATATATTCAACCTCACTTCATAAAAACATTTTCACAAGGGTACAGAAATCCAGTGGAGAAGCGTTATCTTTCCAAGTGCGCTCATACGCACATGAACAGCTTCGATTTGGGGAGCCAGCAGGGGGCGTGTAAAACAAAACCGAGTTTAAAAAAAAAAAAAAGGTTGCACACAGAGTAATTTTAATCCATTCCATTTTTAAATACCACGATAAATTTAATTTTCACAATAAATTAAATAGCCATATTCAGTTTACAAAATAGAATTACTTAGTGTGAAACCAGTATTTACAACAATATACATTATGTACATGACATTTCTCTTTGTTGACATAGAACATGGAAGTAAAAGGACTTTAACTTTCCAAAGTGTGATTGACATGCTACAAGTGACACCATGGTCTATACGAGAAAACAATAGTGCAAAATCACCACAGGAACTTTGGGACAATGTCAATTTTATGAGATATGACATTCTTTCAAATAATAAGAAAACAGTATTTTCTGTTTTCACGGCACCGATTCAGTGGCTGAATTAAAGAGCCAGTTTTCCCTTAGAAAAGAATGCATAACTGGGTCCTCTACTTCCCCAAGCTTCACAGCCATTGGTACGTTTTCACACATAATCTTTTGGCTTAACTCTATGAAAATGGCGGGCGACAAATTCTGACTCAAAGGAAGACTAAGCTTTTTGAGAAGAGCTGAAGTCACTTTCCCCCAATACCACCACCTCTTCTTTTTGTAAATAGCTTAAAAGATGCAACTACTCGGACAGCAAATTAATTTTTGTAACTTTTCAATAGAAAAAAATTGATCTTATATTTGGTCACACACTGTGTATGTACAGGTATACATGGAAAAAACGACTTGGATAGTTGTGTCTAAGAAAAGTGCATATTTTAATCTAGAGGAGACATTGTGTGTCTCCAGCCACAACACATAGTGTTATAGGACTTACTATTTTAGGGCCAGTTCAATGTCCTCCCAGTGATCTGGTAAAATTTTTGATTGAAAGGGTGAAAAAATTTGCGCAATTTGGTAATGACAGAGGGGTCCACCTCTGGATGAATGCGCCCCTTGCTGCCCGCCAGGCACTTATTAAAGATAATGTTAAATCGCAAACAGTAAAACCCTCTGGTGGCATTAAAGTATAAATTATACTGACTTATCCTCGGGGGAAGGTTTAGGAACTTCTCCACGAGCTGAAGTTCTGGCAGAGGTTCCGTGATGAGGCGATCTCCATCGACGATGTGAAATTGCTCAATCGGAAAGTACTTTAACCACCGTTCCAGATGTTTGGTGTAGATGCTTGTTCTCACGGCCTTGTACTTTGTGTTCACTTCGCAGGTATTGGGGTCTATTGCCAGCTTCTCGAACTTGTAGTAAGTTTTATTCTTCCTCTCCTTCCCCTCTAGCACCTGAGTGTAATCAGAAATAGCTCTTGTGGTCGGCTCCCTGACAATGATCAACAACTTGATGGATGAGTTCATTTTGTAAATCCTTTCCGGAACCTCCTCCGTGATAAAATACGCTGGGCTCTTTTCAATGGTGATTTGCTGTGGGTAGGAAAAAGGCATCTTTTTCCTGTACCACTCAATGCCCTTGGCATAATTCTCATCGTTGTCAAAAAAGTGGATTTCTTGAGAGGCTTTGACCACAGCTGGATGGAGGTTCAGCATCTCCAGCAGGGCCCTGGTGCCTCCTTTCCTCACCCCAATGATAATGGCCTTGGGGAGCTGCTGGACCAGGTCATGAAGGCGAACCTGATCCTTGGAAGCGTTGCCCTTCCGGAACTCGTGCAGCAGGCCACGCTTAAACTGCAGGGCTCGGAGAGGGAATTCGGGCTGGCTGCGGGCTCCGAATCGGCCTTCGATGGGGCAAATGGGCTGTAGCCTGAAAGCAACAGACAGAAGCTTTTAGAAGCTCATGGTGACTAACGTATCATTTTTCTGCTTCCCTAGTTGGGGTAAGACTTTCAATGCATAAATAAAACCACTGGTTCCCAGCCTGCCGCAATCCATAATGAACATATGTTTGGGAAATTTTATTTTAAGCAGTCCTGTATTAAATGGAGCACACATAATTGATGGGATTATTTTTATTAGTGCTCCTTAAAATTTTTATTCGTCAAGTACTTAATTGACTACAGCATGTACTTATGTTCGCAGTACAGGACAGGCATGTGGCACCGGTCATACTAATAGCCTTTTAACAGCTCAGCAGTTAACATCATTTAGGAAACGTGAAAGGCAGAAGAGGAGCATCTTGAGCTGGGAGGGCGAAGGCTGGCTAGGAGGCCGCGTGTCTTTTGCGTTCCGTGGGGTATGACTTCCTTGCAACTATGCAGCACTCATGTGGCTCTTAGAAATCTGAGATCTAATCTAATAGAGGTCCTGGTCTCAGCCTGTGGCTAGTTGTTTCGTCAACCTTCAAAAATCCAATCTTGGGACTTGCTGAACTTTGCGTTCTATGAGAATTCCTGCCATGGGCCTTGGGGACAGCTAGGTAAATGCTGTATTTCTTCTGCCTCTCTCTCTCTTTCTGTCTAAAGGGGTTGGGATTATGGTTTGACTTTGCTGAATGTGAGAACAAATCCATTGCCATCCCCAAGTGCCGTCTCTCACCTCCCACGCCTGACCAGAGATCAACCAGACCTTGGCAGAGCCAGAAGCTGTGGGTCCTCACTGCCAAGCCCAAGGATATCAGGGACTCAAGCGTAGGAAGGAGGGAATGCAGTGGATGGAGCCAGAAAGGAGGATTTCCACGTCAGCGTTGCCCGAAATAATGAGCAACCACCACTGCTTTTTTCAGAGAGAAAGGCATGATAACAATCGTAATGATATTAGATTAGAGTTACGGCTTGATTTGTCATGGCCGATGTCTAGGGGTGGCATATGGTGTTTCCTTTTGGGTAACAGTCTGGAACCTAGCTGAAATTCATTATAACTTCCCCAAGTTTATCTGAAAAGGCATTTCAGCCTTCTTGCTAAAGGGTATAAGATTAGTCAAAATGCTGCTAAGCCAATCCTCCAGCTGAAGCTTCTAGCTAATGAGGCTGTCTCTTGCTTTTCCCGAGAGACCTACTGTACCATTCTCATCTTCTGTAATGTTTATAATTAAAGGGAGAAGAGGAAAACTTCGTCATGCCACAGCATTCTACAGAACTGAGGGAAAGGAGTTTGCCCATCTGTCTAGATGTCTATCTATCATAAGGCTTATGGAAAACTATACTTTATATATTATTTGTTTGTGGTGTTTGTTTTTTATGATTTTAGAAACAATTCATGCTCATTGTGAAAAACATGAAAATATGGAATCGTATAAAGATGGGAATCACATTTAATATTTTAGGTTAACATGAATTTTGTTTTAATAAATTTGTTAATAAGATAAATATGCTAGAGCTCTACATGGAAGATATAAAAGTAGCAACACATACATAGTCAAAAATATTTTTAAAATTGTGACATGGGGATATGACAAATTCATCTTTTAGCTCTTCTTGGGTAGTTGAGAATTAAGCCCCAGTTCCCTACAGCATCCACTGGATATAAAGGATGGACTTCTCTCCAATGCATCTAGAATGATGTTACTACCATCCTTGGGAGAATTGAGGAAGTAGTCAAATCCTTTTCTCTAAGGACTTAATTCTCTTGCCGAACTCTGCAAGAGAGGCTGAAATAGACCATTTCTGTCCTATTAGGGCAGGAAAGACTTTCTCTACTTCTAGAAAGGGCCGTTCCTTCTTTCCTTCCTTCCTCTTTCTACCTTCCACTTTGGGAGCTCAAACCCTGCAGTTTTTTGCTTTTTTGACTTCCTAACTCATTATTACCATTTCCTGAAGAGTAGATTCTGAGCATGGGCCTCAGATATGAAAAAAAACATGGGATCTTAAGACAGGAAGGGGGAGCTCAGCCCCTCACCCAGAGAGCAGGTCTTCAGTTACTAAAGGATAGGGCTAAGTAAGTGTGTGTTGATTTCAGACGTAATTTTGTCCATACTCTCAAATGAGAGTTTTTTGGAAAGCCCCAAACCCATCCCATTAGAGAGAAGAGACATCAAGTTAAAAATGAAAAGAATCGGGGCACCTGGGTGGCTCAGTGGGTTAAGTCTCTGCCTTTGGCTCAGGTCATGGTCTCAGGGTCCTGGGATTGAGCCCCACATCGGGCTCTCTGCTCAGCGGGGAGCCTGCTTCCCCCTCTCCCTCTGCCTGCCTCTCTGTTTACTTGTGATCTCTGTCAAATAAATAAATAAAATCTTAAAAAAAAATAAAAAGAATCTTCAACTGAATAACTAATGTGCTAATGATCATTGGATCAATTACTCAATAAAAAGGAAATGACTGGAAGCTAACTAAGCGTAGGGGACGAACTTGACATAAAAGTTCCATTAGGGACATAGGACAGTGGTGCCCACCTCCAGGCTTTTCACTAATAATCAAGTACCACTTTAGAGAACTACTTAAAGTCAGTGACAAGCTCTGGATTATACCATTTCCCATACTTAGCAACTAGTGAGTGGGAAGTTCACTTAGGAATTTTGAGTTGAAAAGCATCAGACAGATTCACTTTACCAGTCAAACCTAACACTGGCTGAAGGAAAATAAAACCACTGCAATATTATTTGTTAAATAACCTAGTGATAAGATCTATAGATTAGAAAAGGAAAACTGTAAGGAAGATATTTTCATGGTAAGTGTGGCTGGATTTTCATGGAAAATGGGAGTTGAATTCATAGAGAACATACTTCTGTCTTTCCAGTGCAATAATTCATTTTAAAGGGCAAAGAAGGGAGCTTCGCATTTCAGAAATTAACTTTTCTGTCTCTTCCAATCATACCGAATGTGAGACAGTCCAGAGGTCCTCAATGGGAGGGCAGCTGTTATTTGCCTGGCCTTCTGCAAGTCTAGTACCTCTCAACGGTTTGCTCATTTACAGTCAAGTGCTAGTTCTGTAAATTTCCTTTCCCTGGATTTTCCATTGTTCTCTGGGCAATTACCCTGAGTGGCAGCCTCCTCATCTGGTACTTTCAGCTCCTGGAAACCAGACCTAATTTACATAGTTAAAACTCCCCAAGCCTGCAGCCATCTTTCCAAGGCAATGGATTCCAAACTTGATGAGCTCCTTTCCAGGCTCATACATAATCTTAACGCTCACGGTAGCACATTAGTTGCTCCCTCATAAACTGCAAAATGAAGATAAATAGCTACAACATCACAATTTTGCGATGGCTAGAGGTCAATAACCAGATGCACACAGACCACACTGAGCTCTAATAAATGACATTTTTACTGTATACGGCTTTATCCCTTCTCTGAAAACAAATGTCAAGGCACACAGAATACAAATGGATCTTGACGAACACCTTGGTTTGAGCAACTTGGAGCCCTTTCTCTTAAAGGCTCAATAAATCAAAATCAATACTGCAGGAAAGCCTGTTTCTTGGGAATTTTGAGAGAAGAAAACAAATGGATAGATTTAAGATTATGTCCTAAGGAAGTTTAAATCAAGAGACACTTGAAGTCACACGGGCATACATATGTGTTGATTACCTACCTATCCAAGCTCCCAACTCTGGCGACTAGATACAGCAGACTCCCAACCGCAAGGCTTCCCAGCACGAGCAGCTTCTGTCTGAGCCACGCCTGCTGTTTGAATAGCATGGCCCTCCATCAACCTTCAGGACTTCTGCAGCCTGACAGACAGGAAGAGAAGGGGACTCATCAACAATTGCCTCTAATAGGCTCTGTGGTTTGTCACAAAGCCATGGAGGGGGAACACAGGCGATTAAGTGAGGTGTCATAGAGAAAAGATCCCATTCTGACCTTGACAATGTTCAATTATAGGTATTTACCCAAACTTGCCTTCCTTTTTTCTGGGCCATTGGTATAAGATCAAATGCTAAACTAGGGGGAAGTTACTAACTAGAAAGAACCTGCTGGGCAATTGTCAAAGTGAACTAATGCATATATTATACTATATATTTACTATATATTTACTTGCATGATTTACTATATATTTACTTGCATGATTTACTATATATTTACTTGCATGATTTTTTGCTTTGTTCTAACTGTAAAGGGGGTGAGATCAAAAGCTAATTCTTTACTCTCCGAGGTCATCAGTGATGACTATCAGGACCTCAGATGTCGGAGGACAGTGGCTCCAAGTAACCTGATGTTGCCCTTTGCCCCCTCTGCTCAGTCCGGGATTGGACTGACTAATTCTGGAAACATGCAGCAGACTAGATTCCCCTGCTGTGTGACCCCCTGCTGGCCCTCAATGAATTCACACAGACTTGGTGATATGGGTTTCACTCTTCTATCATGACAAAAGCTTACCGGGAAGCTTTGTACTCTTATTCCTAAGTAAGGCTGGCTGAGGAGTGTAAAGGTTTACTAGTTCTATTATTAAATTTGGGGGAAAAAAATGCAAGCTTCCAATTCAGTCTTTCTTATTACAAAGTAAATCCAATCCCCCTTTCAAGATAAGATTGTTTGTTTCTTATTGAAACTCAAAATAGTAACCTGAGAAGAGGGACTCCAGCAGTGGGCCATGGGTAGAAATTATTTTCTTGCAATGGTATTTCCATGTTTGCTATGTGGAAAGGGATATACTAGGATTGATTGACTGGTCTATTCATCCACTCATCAGGAGATTACCGACCACCAAGAACATTTCCAATGATTCTATTAGATTTATGAAGGATTCCAAAAAAGATCCTGAAAGAGTTTTAGCCCTTGAAAAACTAATTATAGGAGCAGAAATCGCAAAACAACCAGAGAACGCAACCTAATTCATGATAATATATATATTATTGAGGAAAGAAAATAAAGAAATGGTTGGGGAGGTGAGTTCCATGGGAATGCTTTTTCTGTGGAATATAGTGCATGATCTGGTGAGGAGAGTTTAAGAAGAAAAACCAAAGGAGAGAGGTCAGATATCCAACAGTCAACAAATATTTATGGAATGTGCCTTATGTGCTAGATTCTCTACTGGGTGCTAAAGAGATAGATGGTGGCCAACATGGGAGTCTGTGGTCTAGTGGAGAAGACGGATATTAAACCAGTAAGCATCAGATTCACATATGCTTACAAGTTATACTACCAGAGGAAAATTATAGGAAGTAATGAGAAAGAATAATAGGAGGAAGTGATTCAGTCTTTCCTGAAGAAGTGACACCTTGTCTGACAGCTGAGGATGAGAAGCAAGGAGGGCGGACGAGGGCACAGTGGGTCTCAGGCAGAGGAACCGGCGTGCACAAAAGTACCGAGGGGGAAGAAGGCTTGGCTAGTTTGAGAATCTCAGGAGATGGTCACTGGACACAGGAATTGAGGGGGACAGAGGAAGGGCCAGGAGCCAAAGCAGAGAGGAGGTGATAGAAAGGGTCTTTGCAGACACTGGGTGAGCCTGTTGGTTTTGACCGAGCACATCCTGTGTTGTGTGTAGGTAAAATGGGGAAGAGAAGGAAAAGAGGTATTTCAGGAAATTCTCAGAAAACCCTATGAGTATATTAATGAGGGCACATATTGCATGGAGCACTGGGTGTTATATACAATGAATCATGGAACACTACATCAAAAACCAATGATATACTATACGGTGTCTAGCATAACATAATAATGATGATGATGATGATGATGATAAAAAGAAAACTCGATGAAGTTATTTCCACTTTATGAACAGGTAAAGTGAAGCTCAGGCAGTTTTCTCTAACTTGCCCGTGATCACACAACTGGCAGAGGTAATGCAAAGGCAAAGGCAGTAACTTGCGCTGTGTGACTCAGGGCTGCCCTGAAAGAGTCAATTTTGTGTCTCAAGGTTAATGTCTAATGTTGAAGTTGGCAGTTGGAGCCACAGGCCATTAGCTGGGGGGCTCTGATCCCTGTTGAAATGCAAATACTGCAACAATAAGGCTGAGAAAAGAAAACTGCTCAAGTCCCCTAGTCACGGTTTCCTCCAGTAGCTCTGTGATCGTCTGTGGGGCTGCTTCGATGTCCAGGGCCTCTCTTTCCCTATCTATAAAGTGGGGACAGGCTCTGACCTCCCCACTCTGTAGGCCCACAGTGAAAATGAAGCAAGGCTTCTACCAGGAACATCACTGGACACAGATTTATTGCTATGATACTAACATAAGGGATTATATGTCATCTTTTGTTAGTGTGAATGAATTTCACATGTATTCATGGTCAGAGAACAAAGAGCTATTATGTAGTTGAAGAAGGCCAGCTACCAATGGGACAGATGAGAAGAGTAGAGGTAAATGTGCTTGTCCCGTGGCCTTAGGGAGGGTCAGCAGCCCCATACAGAGAAGCAACTCAGAGGAAGGCTGGCGAAGCCACTTGGCCTCCTCCAGTACCGGAACGGAGTGCCCACACTCTCCTGCTTCACACTCTGCGGCACGTTCCCCGGCTCACTGGCGCTCTGGTAGGTCTTCAGCTACAGGTCACCCAGTGTCTAAGGCTGGGGCTACCTCCCAATTCCCGGAGGCAGGGCCTCTGGGCTGACAGCCCAGTGTGGTCATCTCCAACCGCCTCTGCATTCTGTGGTGGGGGTCTGGGCAGCCACAGCTGCAGTGAGCCCTCCATTGCTGTAGGTGCTGGATGAGTGTGAGCAGCCGCCTTCGTCTGTGGGTATCACGACATCTCCCAGCAATGGGCTAGCCGTGCTTGCTGGCTCAGAAGTACCAGAAGGCTAACTGAAGGGTGGTGAGCCTGGAATCGCTCTGCTTTGCTGCATAGGCTCCAGGGTCTCTATGGTAGAGCAGAAACTTCAGAAAAAGCACACCTGCCACCACCTTCAGAGATTCCAACTGGATGGGTCTGAATTAATCTTGCATCATGTTTTGCCGTTTTTTTTTTTTTTTTTTTACAGTGGAGTGAATGACACACAAACCTTAGTCATAGTCATTTTCTACCTTTTTTTTTTTTTTTCCTCTTGAGTCACCGGAGTTTAGCAAACTCTTTCTCCTTAATTTTTTCTTGTCTTGTCTTAGGGAGAAACTTAATGTCTCCCTTATTTCTTAACATTTGGGGATGTTCTCTTTGTGCATTTCCTATGGCTGGTATAGTCTGATTATTCTTCTCATACAGGTTGTTCTTCCCTCATCTATTTTTTGGTTATTTGCTGGATCAAGTCCAATCTCTTCTTGAAAGCACAGGCCCTTCCCTCTGAGGGCCCAGCTTGGATGGTCAGCCTCCTTCCTGCTTGTCACTCCCCAACACCAGCCTCTGTGGCCTTCCGGTCAGCTGCTTAACTACTTCTCACACCTCTTTGCTCTGATCTCTATGTTTCCATCAGTTTCCTCATGGGCCCAGAATGGCTTTCCTCCATTTCCTCCTTCGAGACTTCCAGATCCTGTTAATAACTTCCTGGAGAGGGTGATCCTGGTGGATGGGCAATTTGGGGAGAAATCCCAATATACTGTCCATAGTGGGTGGGAGTGGGTTAGGTCCGCTGTGTAGATAATTACAGAAATGAAGGGTGATTGCTGGGCTTAGGGATAACACTGGGGAGACATCTGCATGTGGGGGGGAATGACTAGGGCTATGAAGGCTATGGGGGAAGGAGCCCAAGATTTACAAGAATATCACAACAAGCTATTGAACCTTCTACTGAGATGCACATGCCATCTGGTAAACAGTAGGTTATGAAACCTTACTGAATATGACTCCACTATTTTTTCCGCCACCCAGGAGGATCTTTCACTGTCAAAAGCACCAATACTCCACCTACAGACCCTCCCATTATGGTAAGTCCAGCTGTCACCGTGGAGGATTTGCTCTATGGGGTAAGCTCCTACCGCCAGTCTAGCTTCCGTTGGATGCCTTAAATAGGCTCACTGCGGTATCTCCAAACATTTGTTTACATCCCCTCTTCTCCTTATGACAGGCCCATGGCACCCTCCAAAGCATCCTCTTGTCAGCTGAGGATGCTGAGGAGAACCACAGTTTTCATTCAAGAGCTCAACTAATGTGAACTAGTCCTCTGTGGTGAGGTGCAAAGTCCACTGAATTGGGAGTCAAAGACCCTGAGTAACATCTTGGTTTAGTTTTATAATGGAAACTCTCCAAATTTTGGTATCCTCATCTGTGCAACGAAGATAATGTCTATCTCACAGGATTATTATGACTTAAGCCTTGAGTAAGACAATGTGGGATAGAACTTTATGAATATTTGGGTACTTTACAAAAATGAAGCATGACAAATATCACCAGGAGGCTGAAATATTTGTTCTTGCAGAGCATTTTCAAGAGGAAGAGAATAAAATAAATGTATTCCCACTAACAATATAATTAGATTGTGAAAAATAGAAACCTTTTTTAATATAAAGAACTTTAAAAAAAAAAAGATTTATTTATTTATTTATTTGACAGACAGAGATCACAAGTAGGCAGAGAGGCAGGCAGAGAGAGAGAGAGAGGGAAGCAGGCTCCCCGCTGAGCAGAGAGCCCAATGCGGGGCTCGATCCCAGGACCCTGGGATCATGACCTGAGCCAAAGGCAGAGGCTTAACCCACTGAGCCACCCAGGCACCCCAATTTAAAGAACTTTTAATGGAAACTACTGTTAACTATTAGAATCCTAACACTATATTCTCTCTTCAAAGCGAGATGGCAAAGCTTGGCAAAGCAAAGAGTTACCAAAAACAAAGACAAAAACTCAACACTTACTGTGTTAGGTGGAAATCACTTGG